TGCATTTTTCTATATGAAAATTCTGGTTTCAACCTACATTCCTCCATATAGATTAGTTTATTCAAACACTTAAACCCCAGAATTCTAGTATCTAAGGCCATTAAAATCAAAAGGATGCAGGTACTGCCGTGCCTAGTGAGAAATATAATAACCCAAACGCCCACTAATATATATTTAAGAATTCAAATATGCTTTTACAGCTGGGAGAGAGAATGTTTCTGTGGCTCCCTCCACCCCAGTACCTCTGCTAGCAAACCGAGTGACATCTGAATAAGCACCACCACAGAAGGGGTGAGTGCATACACAGAATGCAGGTCTGGAGCCATCAATGACTCCATTCCAACGAGTCTTCATGTTGGCAGCTGAGCCTGGTCAAGAGCTCAGGCAGAATCCCAGGAACTGGGGGGTGGGGAATCAAGTTGTGAACCTCAAATACTAGAGTTCAAAGATCCCGATCCTTGCGCTGCAGGTTCTGTGGTTCTCTTCCTGGAATCCTCCTCAGGCAATCTTCGCTCTACTCTGATTTGCTCTTCTCCATGGAAGGAGCAAAACTCTTTGAAGGCATCGTGTCGGGTAGTTTTGAAAGAGAACCTCTTCCTCCTTCCCCTACTTGCACATCCCTAAGACAGAGTCTTGGTGAGAAAGGCGAAAAGTGAAATCCCACGCACGTACACACACACACTTGGTTCTACTCAAACTATAAGCCTTTATTATATTTTACATATCGTTCATTCAGGACATGATGAATAGGCAGTCGGCATCATCTCAGTTGTGAAATGAGAGAATGCACGTAAGTCTCTCGTCCCAGGCTAGGCCTGCGTGTGCCCGCAGAGAAGAGCGCCCACTGACACTGGAACACACAGGACTCTCGCCTGGGCTCAGCCCACGTACCCGCAGAGAAGAGCTCACACTGACACCAGAACACACAGGTCTCTCGCCTGGGCTCAGCCCGCGTGCCCGCAGAGAAGAGCTCACACTGACACCGGAACACACAGGTCTCTCGCCTGGGCTCAGCCCGCGTGCCCGCAGAGAAGAGCTCACACTGACACGGGAACACACAGGTCTCTCACCTGGGATCGGACCGTGTGCGCCCGCAGAGAAGAGCTCACACTGACACGGGAACACACAGGTCTCTCGCCTGGGATCGGACCGTGTGCGCCCGCAGAGAAGAGCTCACACTGACACGGGAACACACAGGTCTCTCGCCTGGGATCGGCCCGTGTGCACCCGCAGAGAAGAGCGCCCACTCTGAGACCGGAATACAGAGGTCTCTCGCCTGGGCTCGGCCCGTGTGCGCCCGCAGAGAAGAGCTCACACGGACACCGGAACACACAGGTCTCTCGCCTGGGCTAGGCCCGCATGCCCGCAGAGAAGAGCTCACACTGACACCGGAACACATAGGTCTCTCGCCTGGGCTAGGCCCACATGCCCGCAGAGAAGAGCTCACACTGACACCGGAACACACAGGTCTCTCGCCTGGGATCGGCCCGCGTGCCCGCAGAGAAGAGCGCCCACTCTGAGACCGGAATACACAGGTCTCTCGCCTGGGCTAGGCCCGTGTGTGCCCGCAGAGAAGAGCGCCCACTCTGAGACCGAAACACACAGGTCTCTCGCCTGGGCTCGGCCCGCGTGCCCGCAGAGAAGAGCTCACACTGACACCGGAACACACAGGTCTCTTGCCTGGGCTCGGCCCGCGTGCCCGCAGAGAAGAGCTAACACTGACACGGGAACACACAGGTCTCTCGCCTGGGCTAGGCCCGCGTGCCCGCAGAGAAGAGCTCACACTGACACCGGAACACACAGGTCTCTCGCCTGGGCTAGGCCCGTGTGTGCCCGCAGAGAAGAGCTCACACTGACACCGGAACACACAGGTCTCTCGCCTGGGCTAGGCCCGCGTGCCCGCAGAGAAGAGCTCACACTGACACCGGAACACACAGGTCTCTCGTCTGGGCTCGGCCCGTGTGCCCGCAGAGAAGAGCTCACACTGACACCGGAACACACAGGTCTCTCGCCTGGGCTCGGCCCGCGTGCCCGCAGAGAAGAGCGCCCACTGTGAGAGCGGAACGCGAGCCTCTGGGCCGCCGCAGTGCTGCCCTCATTTCTGAGCTGTCACATACTGGCTGGAGTTAGATGGGTCAACACTGATGTTTAACTTGGACTTTTAAGGTTCTAATTTTACACTTTTTATTAGTTTGATTGTTTTACAGTCTACTTTAAAATCAAAAGGCCACCCGCTCATTCCACTATGACCATTCTGAGTAAGGGATGTGTTATACACAGCACCGTATTCAACTCAGAGGAAGAACAGGCTTCAGCACCACAGCTCAGGAAAGACTGGACATGTGTTCCATTTCCCTGCCCTGCTCCGTTTCCCCATCACCTGGGCCAGCCTGGAAACGAGCACCCCCTCTCAGACAGATGCCAAGTGGGAGGAAGAGCTTCGTTCTGCAACTGGAGGCCAGAGCTGAACTCCCCCCCTCACCTTGCTGTACGTGTGCCCCCTTCCTGGGGGTGGGGGGGTTGGCATAAACAGTTAAAAGGCTCACCAAAACCCATGTTTCAAGAAAGTTCAAAACAACATGACAAAAGACACTGAAAGGGTTCAACCATAGCCTGTCGCTGCCTGCTAATGTCACACCTCCCATACGTTGGAAACTTTCCAAGCACGGTGACAAAACCCTCTTGCCCAAAGATGGTGACCCTAGATCCACAAAGGTGGATAAAAAATTTTGGAGCTACAGGAATATAACAGAACAGTGGTGAGGTAAATGAAATGACAACGTGAACCTTGCCGGCACGCAGACCAAACACAGCACTGAATCTGGAGGCAGAGCTGGAAAGAGAAATCCTCAGGACGCATGAATTTGACCAAGGGCGCAGCTCATAAAAATCCCAATTATTTGGAATTTTCCAATAGGAAGTTTAGGAAACATGCCAACAGCAAGAAATGAGATGACTTCAGTGCCAACGGTCTGACCTGTCGGCACTGAACCAATGTTCTCAAAAGAAAAAAATGCTCGCTTTCTCTGGGACCAAGAGAGCTGTGAGAAAGAACTACCAACACACAGGCAGAGGCAGGAGGAAAGTAGCACAGAGCAGCTGAAAATGTGTGAGAGCTTGGAATTCAACATGGAGAATTCAGAACAGAGGCCTTGACACTTTAAACCAGCGAAAGCTGAGAGTTATAAAACATTTAAAATGTGGACCCTCAGGATCTCTTAAGCTACAGCAAAAAAGATGCAGTTTTCAAAAGCACTATCTACAGCTGTTGCAGTATGGGGTACAGAGGAGTCCTTCAGAAGCAGGAGAAAGTTGAGGTGACACAGGTGATGCTGGAGGCAGGAGCTCCCCATTTTAGACTTTGCAGCAGTGCTACAAAGCCTCCAGTGACCGGGCAGGAGAGCACAGCTACTCCCAACCGTTCAACAGTGCACCTGGGAAAGGTCATCCGCTTTGACCCAGTGGGCATCTGGGGAGACACATTTATCATTGAGAGAGAAGACACCCCCACAGAACCGGCCAGATAGAGCCTATGATAGATGACCTTTTTTTGGTTTGTTTTTTGTTTTTAATAGCCAGAGCCCCCTCAGAACCAGATTGAGGATAGGGATAACAAGCAAATTCTAACAATGTCCTTCCAAATTAAAAAAAAAAAAATGCTTTATTATTTTATTTTTAAATCACAGAACTCCAGGCTGAATATCATTAGACATACACACACAATCACTAATTTCTGGAGTTGTCTCTCATACTCTGTCTCAAAATTTGGCCAAGATATGCCTCAGGAAATTTTCCAGCTTAACCCCATACACCAGCTTGGGCTAAACAGAAACACTAAAGTCTTTTGGTTTAGCCAGTCTCAAGTGCTCTTACAGACAGAAAGCTTGCCCGAGGGCACCGCTGCTGGTTAGAATGCCGCACGCACAGCTTGGGGTTAATGGGAATGTGTGTGCCTCCTGACCTGCCGGCTTTGCTCTTCTGTTTCTTTCTGCAGGGGTTGGTTGCCTTACACACTTCAATAAAAATATATCTTCTATTCAGAATCACACTCAAAAGCAGGTGGTTTGAATGAGTAGTACTGTTACATAATAATTATAGAGTCTACAGTGGAGAAATCTGAACTCTGGGGTTACAACTCAAAATAAATATTATTTCAAGGTAAATAAACAAATTACGAGGCTGGCTAGTGAAATGCTTAATTCTTTTCAAAATCATAATTACAACATGGACTTTTGCCCTGCGCTGCATTCCAACACAAGAATCAGGTACCCTACATCTTCACAATGATTTACAGGGCCTCCCTTTATTTCTCCTCTCAGTGCTGAGAAAAGACTCCAGGGCCTAGACGTTGTACCTATGTGGCTCGAATTATTTGGTGCTCAGGTAAAAACTGCCACAAGGCCCAACCTTGATTAACACTAACTATTCGTTTAAGTCTGCTGGTACCTTGATGGAGGCCCTCGCTCAGAGATAAGAAGGATGTAGAGCGGAGAAGCGGAGAAGCGAGGGCAAGCTGAGAGCTGAGGGCAACTATGCTAAGTGACTCAGACAACACAATGGAACATGAATGAAAATATCACTATCACCTTCAAAACCCATCTGCTTCTTTTTCTAATCAGGAAATCAAGTGTGAGAGGAACATTCCTATATATTGCTCACCAATACATTCTTCTTAACAGAAGTGAAGCTATTTTAAGAATATAAAAAGCTTTTCAAGACATCTGGTTTCAGGGACAGACCACAGTACCAGAAATACTTTTCAGAGTTGGTTCGTTCTAAAGTCTATCCCAAGAACAAGGGCAGCCAACTTTCATGAGCTACCAAGTCATTTTCCGGCACATGTATTTTCACTTTCCTAAAGTTATAGGCTGTCTTCAAGTCCAACTATATCTGACATACATGTATCTGATGCTTTTCTGTCAGCAAAAAAGGGAACAATTTTTTAAAACTCCCAAGTTGATATTTGTGTAGACTGAAGGTAGAATTTTGGTTGTTTGTTGTTTGTAACTCAGAACATGGATGAAATTAAAACGTCTGCAACGTCCCTAAATTCGCATCTTTAAAAGGTCCATTTCTCCATTCACATGAATTCATCTGAATCATTGCCGTCCTGTAGGAAACAAAAAAATAAAACCATAAACGCCTCCGAAAAACTCAATTTGTAAAATTTACAAGTTATGTCTTAAGTAACAAGCCTCCTTATTTCTAATTGTAGAGTTCAGAAAGAAAACAGTAAAATAATTAAATTCACTCTTCACTTCTTTATCTTAAATTGTTAGTTGTTTAGAACAGGTGGTTAGCGGCCATATTCTCTAGGGTACCATTACATGGCCTGGATTACACAACAGGCGACCAGTGATATCCAGACTATGAAATAAGGCCCAACCGACTGAGTATGGGATGTAACAAAAAAATGCAATTGCTCCTTCAACAAATGATATGAAATCAAACAAATACTGCCTCAGTATCCTTATGCCAACAATGCTACTGATATGCAAAAATACTTTTGGCCTAAATTTCACTATTTTGAGTTCAAGGTTGTCACATATTTGTGACTTCACAGATGGCTTAAAAAAAAACCCCAAAACCTAGGAAAAGTCATTAGGAACCACAGGCTAGTTACCAAGTTAGCTGGCTTGCCAAGTTTTGATTAAAAACAAAAACAAAACACCTCACATGATGGTATACAGTATAAAGGGTCTGCTTTTATTGTGTGGATTATAAACAAGTCCAGAAGAACAAGTACAAAAATAGAGCCTAGTCTCTTTTTGAGATACTGCACACCCCAAGGAACTGCTCTGAAGGCGAACATTCACTAACAGTGTAAATTCTGGTACACTGGCTTAAAAAATGTCACAACCTGAACATGTCACTTGCTTCAGTTTCTCTCATATTCCCACTGCACGACACCTGAGTTATCAGAGAAAGACTAAGGCTTATAGGTATACATGCTTTTCTCCTTATAGCTCTTACACGAGCTGGGTAGGCAAATGAGATACAGGTAGAAAACAATGGTTTCTGTGAAATCTGATTTAATCTTCACTTTCATTCAGAAGTTTTCTGTGTGCTTCTCTTCAATTAGCATAACAAACTGAGGCCACACTTAAAATGCCTTAGATAATAACTGTTCAAAGAGCACACTAATGTTTGTCTTCTATGCAAGCACTAGAACTGTGACTGCCCTAGAGTCCGAAACTGAATAGCATTTGAGAGGTTGAGAGTCATCCCATATTTTTGAAGGTTAAATCCCAAACACTGAGAATGAAAAACTCACCAAGATAAGTCAGGTTGGTGACAATGAAAATGCATTATTCCCCATTAAGGCTGTGAGTTACATCTGCAGAGTTCCCATGTGTCTGAGAATCTGTATTTTAGGATTATAGTAACTTGTAAATATATATCTGAGCTCCAAGACTTTAGTAGCACAATTTTTACATTTCAGAGTCCCTTTAAGAGTCAATATGTTTCTCAGTATAGCAAAATAGGTTTCCTGTTGTCCACTTATAAAATGATAAGCGAACTGCCCTGGCTGGTTTGGCTCAGTGGTTAGAGTGTCAGCCCTTAGACTGAAGGGTCATAGGTTCGATTCCTAGTCAAGGGCATATATCTGGGTTGCAGGGTTCAATCCCCAGCCCTGGACAGGGTCATTTGGGAGCAACCAATCAATATCTCTCACATCAATGTTTCTCTCTTCCCACTCTATCTAAAAATCAATGGAAAAATATCCTTGGGTGAGGATTAACAACAAATGATAAGCAAATAAAATGTTAAAAGAAATTATGGTTCCTGATACCAAATTTAGAAAGACTAGAAGGAAATTATAGACTGAAGAGAACTAATTTGAATAGGAGAGCACAAACTCAAAATTAAAACAAAGTTCAGAGAGGAAGACTAATATTTTTCCCACTTGGGTAAGCTAAATTAAAAATTATCTTACATAAATGCCAGACTTTAACTGAAAATTGACTGATCATGTTGCCAAATTGAATCACAAAAGGTCTGTATCCCCTTAACAGAAGACAGTTACAAGAAGAATTAGAGCTTATTCTTTTGAAGTACGGGAAAAAGCTATGAGAGTCCTTCCACTGCAAGAAAGAATCAAAACACCCAATGCGAAACTTTCCTGGAAACTTGAATGTGATTCAAACCTGGAGCTCAGGAACAGGGGTAGCAAACAAGAGAGGGAGGGAAAAATGGAAGGATTAGTAAACCTTTGGACTTTTAACATCTGTTGATAATCAGATGAGATGGTGTTAGTATATATATTCGTGTATATGTATGTGTATGTATTTACTTCATAATTCCAAGACAACATCCAAACTTTAAAAATCCACAATGACAGGAATGAAAATGCCTAAAATCATAACATAAAATAGGTGCCAGATTTCTGTTGGAAAGTAGCCCCTAAATAACAGAAACCTTCAATAAGAAGCAACCACCACCAAAAAAACAAAGACATTAGATTTGAGGCAGGTTAAAGACTTCTGAAATGTTAAACTATTTTAACAGTTTCAAGAAATCTAAGAATAGTTTGCAAAAGGGATTAAATACATCTAATCTTCTGATACTGATACTCTGTGGGAAATAGCAACAAAGGACTACATGAGTAAGAAATAATAATGACCATTTATATTCACAGAGTGACTAAGTCAAGGTAGAAACTTTCACATATGCCCTGTCTGGTCCCATGAGGTAATATGTCTCCTTTTCACTGCTGATGGATATGTGCTCAGAGAGGTTAAATAACTTTATTAGCCTTATTCAATTAGTAAATGACAGTTTACATCTCTAAATGTCAAATTCTAGGCTCTGTTTAATTATATAATGTTACTCTGGAATTTTTCCGGAATAAATTATAAAGATACGTCTCTGGCTCATAAAAAAGCCTCATAAATTTAGTTCTCCATAGAGATAGTAATGAAGATACTATTCTTATTACATTCAGAATGCTATATAGATATGAATAAGTGGTAAAATCCTATTAACAATTCCTATTCATGCCCTAATTATGAGGTTTGACTAGATGATCTTTAAGGGATCTTAAATTCTGGTAATTATTTCCAAGTACTAAAGCAGTGTTGTTTAATAGTATTTTCTGTGATGACGGAAATGTTCTATTTCTGTACTAATATAGTAGTCCTTGGCCACATGTGGTCAATATGACTAAGAAACTAAAATTTTAAGTCAAATTAAATTTTAATTAACTTAAATTTAAAAAGCCACAGACAACCAGTGCCTAGTATATTGGAAAACACAGATCTAAAGCACATATTGTAAACAATACTATAAAACATTCCAGAGAGCAAATCTATCCACTCAGTTTTAATTCTGTACAAAGACTGTTCAACAATAGCTAAACTGTGCTATCTCCAGACACTTCAAAATAAACTTTGGGAAAGAGAGTACTCATGGACAACAAGTCCCTGACATAATTCCATTAAAATAACTAGGTGCTAATGCTACGAAGATCCTTTCAGTACTATAATATAGATTACACCATTTCTCTTTATCTCAAGTCCTGAGGAACATGAAAATGACTAATGTAGTCACTTAGACTACAGATAAGATCTTAGAGTTAATACTTCTGCTTTATTTTTTAATAGAAGGTGATAACTTTGTTCTCACTCAATTATAATATAGAACACTAATAAATAAAGGTACTCTTGCAAGCCTACAACTAGGAAAGAGCAAAATGAGGAATGGTTGAAAGTCCTATAAGTACTAACAGACCCACACTTCACAACTGACACGGTACTGACACAGGTGACCTACTTAAAAACAAACACAAGGAAGTCCATAAGGAAGGAGAGACAATGCCTAATAGAATCCACCTGAATGTCCTATAGTTGTGCAACATGTGAGTCAATACTGGCCAGTAATTTAATTATTAAAAACTCTTAGTCAATTATTTCAAGGCACAACATTAGAACAAATAACTTGAGCATACCTGATTTGAAGACATATTCTCAACCTTCATTAGTGATGAATAGCTCCTGAAAGAAAAAAAACATTTAAAATAAGGTTATGCAGCTGGCAAGAATTACATGAACAGCCCAGCCAGTGTGCCTCACTGGTTGAGTGTCGACCCATGCACCAAGAGGTCACTGATTCAATTCCTAATCAGGGCACATGCACAGGTTGTGGGCCCAATCCCCAATGGGGGGCATGCAGGAGTTGGCCAATCGATGTTCTCTCTCATCGATGTCTCTCTCTCTCTCTCTCTCAAATCAAAAAAGAAAAAAAAAAATAGCTTAGCCGGTGTGGCTCAGTGGTTGAGCATTGACTCATGCACCAAAAGGTTGCCGGTTCAATTCTCAGTCAGGGCACATGCCCAGGTTGTGGGCCTGATTTAAAAAAAAAAATACACAGAGACGCCTGGATTTTGTTGCTAAATGGATTGAGCACTGTCCCATGGACTGAGAGGTACCGGTTTGATTCCAGGTCAGGGCACATGTCTCGGTTGTGGGTGCATGCAGGAGGTAGTCGATCTATGTTTCTCTCCCATATCGATGTTTCTCTCTCTCTCTCTCTTTCTCTCTCTCTAAAAAATCAATAAAAACACATTAAAAAAAAAAATACACAGAAACAATAGAAAGTGAGACCATATATTACCAGTGTTTTAAAAAGAATAATCTGTAGCACGCAGAACAGAGGAAGATTAAAGCAAAGATCAGTTAATAACAATAGTATTTGCTACCATTTACCAAGTATCCTTTATTTGCTAGGACCTGTGTTATGTGCTTAACAAATTACTGCTAAGCCCTGGCCAGTGTGGCTCAGCAGTTAGAACATCAGCCTGTGGACCAGAGAGTCCCGGGTTCGGTTCCCGCTAAGGGCACATACCTCTGTTGCAGTATGTCCCTGGCCCTGGCTGAGGTTGTGTGGGTGGCAACCAGTCGATGTGTCTCTCTCACATCAATGTTTTTCTCTCTCTCTCTTCCTCCCTCTCTCCCTCTATCTGAAGATAAATGCAAAAATGCCCTTGGGTGAGGATAAAAAATAAATACATTACTGCTAATCCCCACAACCACCTTGTGAAGCAAGGGATAGTATCATGCCCACTGTACACACAGAAGGCAGAGTCAGAGAAGTTAAGGAAGTTATCCAAGGTCTCACAGCTAACAAGTGGAGAAGCTAGGTTTTGAACCCAAGTCTGCCTCCTTAACTTACACTCTAGCCATCATGCTCCAGTCTACTGCAATATCCCAACCCGAGGGCATTAATGCACAACATTAACAGCTGTACTGGTAAGAAGAGACAAATCTGAGAGCAATTGATGATGATATCAAGGTTTCTAGCTTGGGCGAAATAATGCTACAACTGAGAGAAATGAGAAAATGTTGCCAAGACGTGCTATTTTAGGACATGTTACTTCTGAAGTAATGGAGAAATTCAAGTAAATGTGAACTGTACAAAATTGAGGGGTAAAGGGCAGAAGAATCGTCACAGAGACAGACAACAAGCTGTGAGAAGACATCCAGAGAGAGGTATTAGTAACAGTAAGTGGTATCTATAAGAAATAAACAAACAGATAAAAGGTCAATTGCTGCATGAGCAAAAAGAGAAAAACATGTTGATTAAAAAGTGGTTAGAACAGAGAATCTTAATCCTGGCTGCATTTTAAAATCACCTGTGAAGATTAAAACATATTCAGATGACCTGTTGGATACCTACAACCCAGGTTCAAGAACCACTGGGTCTAAATTCCCACTTATATGAAAGAAACACACGTTTACTCTTCTTTAGGCCACATTTTTCCTCTGAGGCCCATCAATCCAAGGGCCTATTTGACATTTTTGGGGATGCTTCAAAGGTATTTTCAGATTCATATATCCATACCTAACTCATGGTCTTCCCCACTATAAAAAATGGTTGAGTTCTTTTCCAGTATCCTCTACCTCAAAGAACTGCATCGCCTTCCATCTCATTTCACAAACCAGAAATCCAGGAGTCACTTTTTTTCTCTGCCTCCCCACTCAATCCAATCTATCTTCATTCAAATCCTGTCATTTTATCTACAAAGTTACTTGTCATTAGTCCACATCTCTCCACTTCCAAAGCACCACCACAGTCCAAGGTACCTCACTGTCACATGGATGACTACAATGGCTTCCTAACTGCCCTAGCCACACCCACCTGCATTACCTTTCCAATCAGGTCAGCAAAGCAACCTTCCAAAACACAAACCTTATCATACTACCCCTTGCTTAATGACTTTACATAACTCTTAGGGTGAAGACAAACATGGTCAATGAGGCCCTGCATGGACTGACACCTTGATCCAGTGATCCCTCAGGCCAGCTGCTCCAGACATTTGGGCCTATTTTTAGTCCTGTGTTTTGCCTTGCTCCCTCCCACACAAGGTCTTTGCACACATAGTTCCCTCTGCTTAGAGCTCTCTTTCCATCCCAGCCCCACTCCCTTTAACTAGCAAACATAGTTTTGATCTTAGCTCAAGAATAACTGTATCAGGGAAGCTATTCTCAGTTCGTTATTCATCCATAATATAATGACTAATCACTCACTGCATATGCAAGGTGCTGGGTCACATATGAGGGGAAAAAAGGATGCATATAAGTGCTTCTTTGAAAGAGCTCATCATTAAAACGAAGAGCTATGACACAGCACTATTTAAAGAAAGCAACAGTAGTAGTGTGTCAGAGAGAAAAGAAGGTACAATTACAGCAGTCATTTCCACATCAGATTATACCATCCTTTTACTCAGTGGTCTCACCATTACCCCTTCCTGCACGTTGCCACTTAACTCATCATCCGTACAAATCCATTTTTTCCTAAAATCCCAAGAAATACAATGGCTCCTTATCATTTACAACATGAAATTTTGGATGGAACAAAACTTTTTTTTTCTTTAATGTTTTTATTGTTTTTTTGTTTGTTTGTTTGTTTTAGAGAAAGAGGAAGGGAGGGAGAGATAGAAATATCAATGTGAGAGGGAAACATTGATCAGCTGCCTCCAGCATGCCCCCGACTGGGGATCACACCTGAAACCTGAGCATGTGCCCCAACTGGGAATCGAACCAGGACCTCTCAGTCCATGGGGCGATGCTCAATTCACTGAGCCACACCAGCCGGGCAAAACCTTCTATTCTTTTTATTTCCCTAGAAATAACCTCGACTCTGGCCTTGCCAACTTGTTCATTCCTTGGCTTACAGGCAGCATGGTATAGCATATTCACAGACTTCAGAATTGCAGACTTGAGTTTGAATACCTGCTCTGCCTTTTATCAACTATAACCTTTCACATTTCACACATTAACCTCTTTGCTGAAGTAATCTTTGTCCCCAAATCAAGTTCACATCAATGTTCAAACTGATGATATACATATACCTGTGTGACTTGCCATTTTACGTGGGTCTTGTACTTCTCTGACTTCAATCACCTGAGCCTTAGGTTCCAATTCTGATCTCCCAGACACCCACTTTAAATATCCCTATCCCTTACCCTTTGTCTTTTCTGATTTGTTACTCACTTATCCTCTATTAACTACATTTCCGACTCTTGTTTATTTCAATAGCCACATGGTGAACACGACTTTGATGTTAATAAACATTTGTTACAATGCCACAAAAGCCAAAGAGGATACAAAATTAAAATAGAGCAGGTAATCTTTCATTGGATTATATCACTGGATGTAACCACTGAGGACTTAAAAGAACTTTAGTATCCTAACTTGTGACCCAATATTTAGATTTTTGCAGCTTGAGCTCTGAAGCTACACACAAAGCATAACTTCACCCTTTTGAGCTCCTAAACCACCTGCAGAGCAAGCAGCTCCTCTTGTGCTACTTGTACTGTTTGATAAATTATACTTTTGTACTGTCAATAAATAATACTCCCTGTACTGTAATTGTGTGACCAAAATAAACCTTTTTGTTCAACATGCCTGGGCTGAAACTAGGACACTAAAAATGCTTGATCATATATTACCCATTGTTCTCATCTCATGGTCCACTTGCTTGACCCCTGAGTCAGCAGACTGTTCAAAGTCCAGTTGCCCACATCACTCAAGAGAACAAATGATGTAAGTTTGTGGTCATGTTTCCCTAGCATCTCTTTAATATTCGGCTCCTTGCAGCTTCAGCCTTTAAAAACCTGGCCCTATTTCCCCCCACTTGCCCTCCCTCCCCATTTTGGAGAATATTCTCGGTTTATACCGAGGGCTATATTCCCTGTTTGCAAATCATTATCCGAATCAACTTTTTAATTTCTCAAAAGGATCCTCTGGACTTCTGTTAACACCACAAATTCAACTCCTCAGATGAAACAACATCCCTATGACACACTGAAGGGAGACATAGATACTGTTCTCTAGCCCGTCAAGAAGTGACAGTATCCTCTATAAGTTTGGTTTGCTGTCTCTGTGTATCGCCTGTACTAGTATTAATATTTATCTTTACATTGACTCTATATCCACTCCTTTTCATGCTTTGCCTAGCTCTAAGCAATAACATCCATTAAATCAAATTTGATATGCTAGTTTTTCTAAACTCATTAAAATAATTACATAACTGCTAAAACATGTCCATGGACATACCACCTAAACCCATCTCATGTGACACCAGTGATATTCTTACCATGCTGTGAGCGGTTTGATACCAAGCTGTCAATTTATGATATGAGTAAATAATAAAATAATCTCTCCTTTAAAAAAAAAAAAAAAAAAAGGGAGTGTCTATGTGTCTATGGTAGACTCACAGGTACCGGCCTAAAGGCTTTCTTTCTCTAAACGCTCGCTCTCTCTCTAAAACAAAATGTAGACTGAGTGAAAAGAGATGTTCTGCTTCTCTAACTCTCCAAGCAAGATCACTTCCAAGGCTCCAAATACTTTAAAAACCCATGCTGAGTCTCTTCTGCTACTTTCTCGGAACTCTATGTACGGCTTCCAGCATGGCAGGTATGGAAATGAAGACTTTGGCTTCCCCCTACACCTAACCCTGTACAAAGATTCTCTAAACTGAAACCCCACTAAATCTTAGGCTGAGAGGGCAAGTGTGTGAGCTAAAAAAGCTAAGGAGCTAACAAATAGGATGGATAAGAATATATGCAGTCTAAGGAAAAGGAAATATTCATTATTGTTTAAATTAATAAAATGATTAACAGAAGGTATTAATATACTACTACTATCTAACCTTCACACTTTGCCACCCTCCAAACAACCCAGATATTTCTAAAACCAACCTAAAAAAGGATGACCTTTCTGTAGACCTGTTTACATGATCAGATCAGCACAATTTCTGCACACGGAGGACAAGGAGTGAAGCGCTTGTTTGCAAGAACAAGACGGAGCTCCAGGGGCTACTGCTCTTTTCATCAGAGAAGGCGGGCAGTTCCTTCCTTGCAGTGGGTTTTGCTGTTCATTGTTGAGCTGAGGGCTGATAGGTGTGATCCCGACTAGGGCTCAAAGATCTGGACTAAAACAAGAGCACTTCCATCCTCCTTTTCCCCCCTAGTAGAAATTAGAAATGAAAAGCTTCCTGTCATTCTTGTTTGAAAAGTTAGAATGGAGTCCAGAGTCTAAAATGGTTTTAGGATCGGAAAGATGTTGAAATGTCGCTCTTCTGGATACTGGGCTAAATATTTTTTCACTGAAATCATGTGGAAACACTGGGGATACTGCCTGGGATAATATTTTCTTCATTTATCTGTGGAATATGCCAAAGATTCAAAAGTCAATTTCTTAAGCAATCACAGCAACTTGACATTCCTTACCAGATGGTCCAAATAAAAGAATCAACGGTTGGTGAAATTCAATGGTATTTTCACTGACAAAAAGCCAAAAGAAAGACTTGAGAATAAAAAAATTTTATAGGCACAGCATTTGATTTCCTAGGTGAAGCGTCAAAGGCCGAGATTAAAGTGATGCCAGCACTACAAATGTATAAAAACAAAGAATAAAACATCCGAAGCTTAGCCTTTGCTGTTGGAATTTCACGGAGCTGCAGAATGCACATGCCAACAGCAGCTCTGCATATGCCATGAACCTCTGCTATGTCACCGCATCAGTTCCTCACGCTAGAGCCCGCTCCGCATTCTTCTACCTTCTGCAGCATGTGGAAGTCGTTTTTGTGGCACATGTTTCACAGAAACACACCAACTGTTTTTGGTTTTCTGAGGCCCATGATAAGTTATTAAAAATAAAGCAGTGGGGATAAAACTGTGCACTTTAAAAACATGGACTAGGAAAATGACTCTTAGTTTATTCCACTTATATTTTCCTTTTTATATGCATGTACCAGAGTGATATAAAAATTTATGTCTGAAGAAACAAATGGAAAGACTACAAGTGACTAGAGATGGCTTACAAAACGAGAATGATTAAATTTTTGAATCCAAAATTTTATTCAATGAAATAGATAAAAGTTTATAGGAATAAATATTCAATTTATATGAATATCTTATATATAGTTGACACTATAAAGAAAGTCCAGAAGATATGAAAACTGTGTTTTAGTGGATGGATTCGTTTAAATGCTTGCAACTTTTTAAACTTGTGAAATCAAATATACAAAATTCCCCAAGTTTTAGCTGTATACAGCTTAATATGAAACAAAAATATAATGTAACTTAAGGTAAATTATGGCATCTATATATTACTTGATTGATTGTACATGGAATAAATACTACTTTAACAATGAACAAACTGAATAGAGGGCTGAAGAATGTGGTAAGTGTGTTACCTTGGGAATCAGACTGAGGCTAGCTACATGGCTTTGGGCAAGTTACTTAACTGCTTCTCAGTTTCAGTTTCCTCTTCTACAAAGTACAAAAAGTATCTACCTCATATGGCTATTATTAGGATTAAATGAGATAATGCAGTAAAACACAGGATAGTGTTTGGCAGATGACGTGCCCAAAAATGTTAGCTATTCTTTCTTATTAAATTTTTATAAGAAAATTAAGTGCTATTATATTTCTAACACATAACATTATATATCCAAACAAAATTGTGTTAGATTTGTAAAGAGCACAAAATGGCATGTTTTCAATTTTTTCCCACTCCACACTAAAAACAAAAAAGAATAAACCACTCTAAATCCTACATCACTCAAAATTCCACATATTTTACCACACTGATAAAGTTGATCATTTTTCTTTCACTGCTAACAAAAAGAAGACTTATAATTCTAGGTTATATCAATGTTAAATCTAGCATTAGCCCCATGCTAGCAAATATAACTCAGGATAACACTTCAGGAGTTCTCCATTTGAATATTATATTTTAAATGAAGCTACTAATTCTGTTTTAGCAGAATCTCCACAGAAACAAGTGTATAACGAAAAAGTACCAATACTTGATCATAATACCAAATTCTGACCCAACAATCTTTCTAATGACCGAGGTATTCCAAGGAAACTGGGTCAGAACATGGTCAAACAGCTTGATACTATATCATTCTCAAAGTGAATAACACATCAATACTTTTTTCTCCTGTTTTGGTATACTTAAAATGTGATATCTACGGACAACTGTGGAAAAATCTAAGGAATTGTGACTAGAAGTCACAGAATCAATTTCCTTCTTTCACAGAAAACAGTAACAACAACAAAACTACGGGCCTCTTCAGCTATAGTACTATGCACCTCTATAGATTTAGTGTGGTACATAGAAGAATGATCCTACCCAAAGACATCCACATGCTAACCTCCAGAACCCATAAATATGTTACCTCATATGGCAAAAGGAACTACTCTGCAGATGTGATTGAGAATCTTAGATGGGAGATTATATGAATTATCTGGGTGGGCCCAAAGTCACCACATTGGAATTTAAAAGTAAGGAAGCTGTGATCAAAGAGGGGGCTATGACTATGGAAGAAAGGTCAGAGAGATGCAATATTGCTGTCTTTGAAGATGGAAAAAGGGGTCCAAGCCAAGAAATGTGGGCAGCCTCTAAGAGCTGGAAAAGAAAAGATTCTCCTCTAGAACTCCAGAAAGGAACATTGCCCAGCCGACATCTGGATTTTAGCCCAGTGAGAACCACACCCAACTTCTAACATACAGAAGTATAAAATAATAGATGTATGCTGTTTTAAGCCACTAAATTTATGGTAATTTGTTATAGGAGCAATAGAAAATATAGTCAAGTATTCTTATGACCTTATACACAAAATTTCAGGATCCGAACTATATTTTAAGTACTATTATTTAAAAATACAGTGCTTTGAAAAAATTATAGACACACACAACAGTATGGTGATTACCAGAGAAAGGTGGGGGAGGGCTGAAGAAAATATAGAGGGGATAAATGGTGATGGAAGGAGACTTAATCTGAGGTGGTGAACACTCAATACAATATACAGATGATGTATTATATGACTGTACCCCTGAAACCTATATTAATTTTATTAACCAATGTCACCCCAATAAATTCAGTTTTTAAAAATGCAGTGTTTTGGAGCAAACTTCACTACAGTGAAGTTTAATTTAAACTTTCAAAATGTAAAAAAGAGGTTTTAAAACCAACTTTTAAAAGTAACTAACACTGTCATTTTGAGCTAAGACAACTTTATTCAAATACCATAGCTAGTCAATGTTAAACACTTAATAAAGCATCTTTTCTTTTCCCGAAGATGTTTACAAACCAAACTTTGAGGATAACTCATGATGATCTATCCAAAAATAAAGTTAGCCATTTTATTTCATATACTCTCATATCCAACCCCTATAAAAGGGCAATTCACTTGATCAACACATTAGTATAGATGTCTTTTTCTAACTCATTTAAAGCTTTGAGCTTGTTATATGTCCCCTCCTCCACTAGTATAGCATTCATTTTTTCTTTTTACAGTATATCATTCTTAAGGGCTGATCCTTGATTAAAACCAGTGAAGAGCCCTGGCCAGTATGGCTCAGTTGTTGAACGTGGTCCCATGCACCAAAAGGTCGCTGGTTCAATTCCCTGTCGGGACACAAACCAGAGTTGCGGGCTCAGTCCCCAGTAGGGGACATGCAGGAGGGTAGCCTTTTGATGTTTCTCTCCCCCATCCCCACACTGCTCCCTTCCTCTCTCTCTAAAATCAATAAAAATGTATTTAAAAAAAAAATCACAGTGAATACCAATACGGTAGCTCCAACATACCTAAGTTCATCCATTTCCCTCTTCTTCTTCATCTCTTCCTTTTCTCTCCTTTTCATTTCCTGAATTTGGGCTTTTTTCTCATTCCTCTCCTCACGGTCTCTGCATTCCTTCTCTGCTGCTAGGTCTGGGAACCGCTCCATTTTGGTCTTTTCTAATCGGTTCAGGATCTCATTCACCTTCTTCTCCACTGTCACAATTTTCACCTATGAGGGAGGTAGAGGGAAAAAATACTCTTTCTTACATGACCGTCCCCCAGAATAGGGGTAAGACTTTCCAGGGGGTTAGTAACCATTTAGAAAACATACATCATGCTGAGCCCTCAAGAGCAAAGATGTTAGAAAAGACAGATCCTTCACCTCCACCTTCCTTTGTGACACAGAACACTTACGTCCTTTTGCTTGTGAAAGCCTATCTGTCCCACATCCATGTCAGCTGTTTTCTTCAGGTTAGACCACGGTGTATATACCACGTTAACGTTGTTCATCTTGCAGCCTGCCAAGAGAGACCGTCTTCAACATGCAGGCAGGATGACACTGAGCAAAGTGTTCCCTTACCCATTGACAAATTACCATAATCCAACAAAGGAAAAAGCTTAGAACGAACAAGGCATCAAGTGTTTTAAACCACAAAATACTTTCTTTTAAAAACCACCCACAGCCCTGGCCGGTTTGGCTCAGTGGTTAGAGCGTTGGCCTGCGGTCCGGAGAGACCCGGGTTTGGTTCCCGCTAAGGGCATGTACCTCGGTTGCAGTTTGTCCCCGGCCCTGGTTGGTCGTGCAGGTGGCAGCCACTCGATGTGTCCCTTTCACGTCGATGTTTCTCTCTCTGTCTCTCTCTCTTCCTCTCTCTCCCTCCCACTCTATCTGTACAAAAAATGGAAAAATGTCCTCAGGTGAGGATGAAAAAAAATAAATAAATAAAAAAAATAAAAACCACCCACAAAAGGCAAATCGTAAAGCTGATCAACACAATTCAAGCAAAAAGTATGACAATGGAAAACGGAGGTCCATAGGTTGGTTCAATTCAGGGACTTCTGAGACTCCCAAACATTGAATGCAAAATTTATTACACACTGTTTTTAAAGAGAGAAGGTCCAAACAGATTTGCTCACATTCTCAGAGGAGTCCTTGATCCAATAAAGGTTAAGCAGCAAGATAAAGTAAAGGAAGCCACGGCCTGGGATTCAAGAGACCTGCACCCTACCCTGGCCCTACCACAAACCAGCTGTCACCTTGGGAAGGTCCACATGGCTCTCGTAATCTCATCTGAAACATGAGGTAACTAGACCAGTGTAGCAAAATTTTTGTTCTGTGTCTTTTAGCAGTGGAACCTCTCTTACCAAAGAAACATATCAAAGCAATCCAAGCACAGATGCTCTGGATGAAAGGGATGCCAGGTACCATATTTATTCCTCCTCCTCTCCTTTCATCACCTCCACCTCATGTTTCTCCTCTACACGGACAGCCTCCCATGCAGCTCTAAGAATCACAGTTTAATCGCTGGACCAACATTCTTTAAGGCCTTTGAAAATTAGATGGCAATGTATTTCAGTTTATTAATCACCACATTCACTGGAGAAATCTGGGAACACAACCTTACTTCACTTGTGAAGTATTCCTGCCTGAAAACTCGCAATGTGATCCTACTCAAGAGAAAGCACCAGACCAATCCAAATTGTGGGATATTCTACAACTGGTCTCTACTCTAAAAGTATCAATGTCCGGAAAGACAAAGAAGTGTCTCCAGATAAAAGACCACAGAGCCCTGGCCTGTGTGGCTCAATTGGTTGGGTGTTGTTCCGGTCAGGGCATGTGCCCAGGCCGGCAGCAGACTGATGTTTCTTTCTCCCTCTCTCTCTAAAAATCAATTTAAAAATAATCTTTTTTTTTTTTTAAAGAAAAGGAGACTAGAGAGCCATGACAAGTAAATATAACACATGATCCTGGATCAGAAAAAATCCTATGAAGGTACAGGAGCGGAACACTGGGAATATTTATATACAGACTTTATATCAGATAACAGTATTTGATCCATGTTAGATTTCCTTAACTGATCATTGTAATGCAGTCACAAGAAAATGTCCTTGTACTCAGGACATAAATGATGGGGTTGCGATGTCTGTAATTTTCTTTCATATGGTTCAGCTAAAAAAGTTAAATAAGTGTGTTACAGAGAGAAAGCAAATTAATATGGAAAAATTGTTGAATCTAAGTGAAGAGTATATGAGAGCTGCATTTTTCTTGTAACTTTTCTGTAGGCTGGAGATTGTTTTTCAAAATTAAGTTTTTAAAAAATCTCCAGTGAACAAGGAGGATACAAACATGGATTAGACAATGGACCTTGCCTTCCAGACTAAAAGAGGGCAGATAAGTACATAAATAACTTCAATCAAAAGTAGAACTCATTGCCCTGGCCTGTTTGGCTCAGCGGTTAGAGCGTTGGCCTGCGGTCCGGAGAGACCCGGGTTCGGTTCCCACTAAGGGCATGTAACTCGGTTGCAGTTTGTCCCCGGCCCTGGTTGGGTCGTGCGGGTGGCAACCACTCGATGTATCCCTTTCATGTCGATGTTTCTCTATTTCTCTGTCTCCCTCCCACTCTATCTGAACAAAAAATGGAAAAATGTCCTCGGGTGAGGATTAAAAAAAAAAGAACTCATCAAATACTGAGAAGGGACCGGTAAAGTGCTAAGGTGGTACAGACAGGGCAGTGGTCTCTCAAAGCTGGAGGAAGAAAAGGCTCTGTGAGAGAGGTTCATATAGTTCAGTGGATAAGACAGACGACTTTAAAGTCAGACTGTCTGATTTCCAATGCAGCTTCTACCAGTCAGAGCTCTGAAACCCTGGATAAGTTTATTGATTCTCTTTAAGCTCTGCTGCCCCATCTGTAAAATGACAATAAAAATATCTAACTCCACAGGTTAATAAATGAAATAATTCGTAATGTTTTTACCAGAGTGTCAGGCATATAATTAACATTCAATGTTAGCTATTAACTGCTATGTAGACCTTGAACTTTTAGCTTGGATCTGGACTTGTGATGACTGACAAGAAGGACAAAATTGAGAGTAGAGGTAATGATACAATCGTGCGCTGCATAACATTTCAGTCAAGGACAAACTATGTATAACAACTGTCCCATAAGATTATCATGGACTTGAAACTTTTTTGTTGCCTAGTGATGTGTGATGGCATCTGGAAGAAGACACTCAAGAGTTTGCGCACGACTTCCAAGGATTTGCAAAGGAAGAGGAGATTGCAAAATCAATAGGGCTGTGGCTGAGATGGCAACCGACTTTTACCTGGGTGTGGATGATGACAACACTGAGGAGCTCCTAGAGGTGGAACCTGAGGAACTGACTAATGAGGAGTTGTTGGAACTAAACAGGAATGCACAGCTGAAGAGGCAAGAGAACAGGAAACTTCAGGATAAAAAAAAGAACCCTCAAGAAAATTCATAGTGGAGGAGGATTTAGCAAATGCTTTTGCAGAACTCAACAAGATCCTTAGAAAGTTAGAAAACAAGGACCACCACCACCGAAAAGTTTTCATTACTAGAGAAGAATATTTATGGTGCATTATCTGCTTACAAGCAAATCTATGATGAAAAAAACAAAACAAAAACAAACCAAGCAAAACACTGTGGACATATTTCTGAAAAGAGTGACACCTCCTTAAGAAGAGCTGCAGCAGGTCCTTCAGCAGGTGTTCCAGAAGAGGCCTGTTATCACAGGAGAGGTCAGAGAGGACAGCTCCATGTGTGCGTTATCACCCAGGAAGTCCTTCCAGCGGGACAAGACATGGACATGGAAGACAGTGATATTGATGATCCTGACCTTGTGGGGGCCTGGGCTCATGTGTATATTAGTGTCTTCATTTTTAACAAAAAAGTTTTAAAAGTAAAAAAAAAAAAAGTCTTTAAATAAATTAAAAACAGTGGAAAACTTATAGAATAAGGTTATAAAGACAGAAAATATTTTTGTACAGCTTATAAAGTAAAAGTTGAGGTAAGCTAAGGTTACACTGAAGAAAAATATTTCTTGTTAATAAACGTAGTGCAGCGTAAGTGTACAGTCTTTATAAAGCTACAATAGTATGTATGCAGTAATATCCTAGGCCTTCACTTCACATTCACTCACTCAAGATTCTCTCAGAGCAACTTCCAGTCCTGAAAGCTCCATTCATGGTAAGTGCCCTATACAGGTGTACCATTTTTTATCTCTTATACCATTTTACTGTACATTTTCCATGTTTAGGTACACAAATACAATTGTGTTACAACTGCCTATAGTATTCACTACATTAACATATTGTATAGGTTTGCAGTCTAGGAGCAATAGGCTATACCATCGAGGTGTGTCTAAGTTTATTGTATCATGTTTGTACAACGACAAAATCACCTTATGATGCATTTCTCAGGACATATCCCCATCGTTAAGTAACACATGACTATATAAGCAAAGGTGAAAAACAGCAAATATTTGGTTTGGATGGTGTGTAAAATATGTGAAGGGAAAAGGAATTCTGTAGTCAGATCAAAGATGCTTAAGAAGTTTGGACTTAATTGTATAGACAAGGTAGGTGTGTCATGAAAAGTGTCTAGGCTTTTAGAAAGTTTAATCTGGCAGGAGAGTATAAGATGAATATAAAACAGGCTGACCAGATTCTATGCAGACAAACAAGTTTTAACCCCAACTCCCTTGATTCTGAATGCTGAAGGTGGTCAACCACGGAGGAAAGTATTTCAGCTACACAGGGACACAAATGCAGTGTACTTAGCAAATCTCACAGCAAAGAAAAATCTTCACTCCTCAACATCCTCTGCTACTGACTCACAAGAGTGAGACTCTTAATTAGATCCAGCTCTTTTTTCTGGTGAGCTGTAGCTGTGGAAGGCTGGAGAGGAAAGAAGAGTAATTCTGTTATGACTCTTCTCTCCTCAGTTCCTAGTTTCTCTAAAACAAGTCAACTATAAAGAGATTAAGAAAAAAGAGGCAGGGCCAAGAATAGAGTCCAGAGCTCTTTTAATAAAGTCACATCTGCTAGCCAGGGGCATGGAGACAGAACAAGAACATGTGAAAGAGGTTGCAACAAACAAGGAAAGAGAATAATAGTTTTAGTTTATATTATTTTTGTCAGTAGTAAAGATCTTAACTGGAAATCTTAGACACTGTTCTATCCATGAAATTGGAATGTCCTAAAACTAATTGCAATTTAATGATTTATGGAGTTGAAATTCAGTGGCTCTACAAGACAAGACTTCCACTTTCTTTGGCTAGGTACCTGACTCTTTAAAACTGCCCAAGTTAGACTCAGAAAATATACTCTAAGTGCTGGGGAAGAGCTAATCCCCAGCTCTTGTTCTGTAATCACCAACCCTTGGTACCTGCTGCTGGCTATGTGTCTGCCCCATTCTTATCTTCTACCCAAGTCTTATTTCTTTCCAACCCTCTGGATTTTCCCCGAACTTCGTACCAAAACAAATTTACCTCTATGGTATCTAGGTCTACATCCTATACCTAAAATCCAATCTACTAACTCAAATATTCTTAGCAGAACACCATTTCCTGGCTCCCCTTTTTAACTCCCACTTCCACCTCCATAACTGTCCTTTTTAACATATACTACTACAAACAGATTATATCTTGTACAGGAGAAATAGACAAGCACCAAGCCCAGTATTATAGACCCTACCTAAAACACTTACACCAAATGTTCTCAACCCTCTCTGAACGTGAGAATCACCTGGAGAGCACGGCAAACATACTGATACTCACAGATTACCTCAGACCAATTAAATAAAATTCTCAGGGAGGTAAAGATCAATTGACTTGATAACAAGGGGAAAAGAAGAAAAAGCAGAAAAGAGTGATTTGGAGACTTCAGTTCTAGTATCTAATGACACATAATGGAAATAAAGACATCAAATAGCATTAGAAATAAAGTCATAAGACACATTACTTGCTTAGCTATTAACTTAGCCTGATTTCCAAAAATCTCTCCACAAATAACTTTAAGGGTAGGCAGGTATAGGCAATCTACTATTCAAGGAAAGAACAACAAGGTAAAAGAGTTCAGATACAGCCTTAAAAATTAGAGGGGTGGGGAGAGTAGCTTTTAGTTCTTTGATAGGTAGCAGAACTGCCATCTTAAAGAACAAAACAGAGCAAAGGCATATTACAAGTTAGTCCTTTGACTCAAGCCAAAGTCAGGAACATGTTCTCTAAAATGAAATCCATTTCAGACACAGAGAAATCAGTACTAATTCTAAAAGCACTGCTAGGAAAACTGACCTTGAATGCTGTTGGCCTTCACAAGATGGGCACAGTCCATCAACACTTCCTTTGGAATGTCTTCTATGTCCTCCCCCTGAAACAGAAAAATAAACCAAATGGTCCACTACTTTGTTAATGATCGATACCAGAACACTCATTGGACCTGCTGCCTTACCAGGCACATTTTATTAAAAGCAGGGGCTCTTCAGTTGTATTTCAGAACACTGAAAAATGAAGTCTGTTACAGGAATGTTTATTTAAACTAAGAGAGGGCAGCAATATGGAAAATACTGATACTTAATAAGTAAAAAATACAAACACAGGGTATGAAAGAAAACTACCAAAATATTAACTGTAATTATGTCTGAGTAATTTCTCTCTTCTTCTCATTCTTACTTCTAGAAACCTTGTGGGGAAATGGTGTCTATATTTGACAACTGGATGTCTGTCTTCTTAGGTGAGGTCCCTACGACCTTCCTCTCAAAGAGACATCTTATAGTTTTGGATCTCAAACATCTAGTAGGTCATCTATCCTCAGCCTTAATCAGGAAGCAAGTTCTTGGTGTGTTAAATAGAACCATCCACTCATTATAAGGGAGAAATAATATTGATTCTTTTCTCTACAGATACTGTATCAAAGTCAAAGCTGAATAAGCAAAGCCATTTCAGAAGAAAAATATTTCAGAGGCAAGAGCAAGTGAAAATCAACTCTATCCTGGCTACTACTAGGCATGGGATTACAGTAGCACTTCTGTCTGGGAATGAAATATTCTACCTACATAAATATTTGAGATAAATTAAGTATATTCCCTTATGTTTCTACATTTTTTCTTTATATTAAATATTTTATTTATTTATTAATTAAAATATTTTTTCACTGATTTTAGAGAGAGAGGAAAAAAGAAGGTGAGATAGAAACATCGATGAGAGAGAACATCAACTGGCCACCTCCTGCATGCCCCTCGTTAGGGATTAGGCCCACAACCTAGGAATGTGCCCTAACAGGGAATTGAACCAGTGACCTCTTGGTGCATAGGTCAACGCTCAACCACTAAGCCACACCGGCTGGGCTATATTAAATGTTTTAAATGGGAAATCTCTCAAATACATACATTTTGACTCAAACCAAGTGATTTAAGTTTGTCACTACTCTAATGATGTACTTCATCCTGTGCAATTCCCTGACCATGAGGATTCTGAATGTAACTTCTTGATCACACAATGTCATCATTATGAGTATCAACCATTACACTAGGCTATAATATAGTAATAATGATGCCTTCAGGGGCTTCTACAATACACAGGAACTGATTGATCCTATGTTAAATAAATCAAAATGAATAATTAAAAACAAAAACAACAGCCCTGGCCTGTTTGGCTCAGTGGTGAGAGCATCCACCTGCGGTCCAGAGAGACCCGGGTTTGGTTCCCACTAAGGGCACATACCTTGGTTGCAGTTTGTCCCTGGCCCTGGTTGGGTCGTGCGGGTGGCAACCACTCAATGTGTCCCTTTCACATTGATGTTTCTCTTTCTCTCCCTCCCTTCCTCCCACTCTATCTGAACAAAAAATGAAAAAAACAAAACAAAACAAACAACAGCTACAGGTTTCTGAGCACCCACCTCATGCCAGGTACTACATAAACAGCCACATGAAATGGATAGTATTATCCTCACTTTACCAATGAAGAAAATGAAGCTTAGTGAGGTTAAGGAACTGGGCCAGGGTCCCACATATCTAGTTAAGTGACAGAACTGAGAGGAAAAACCCATAACTAGAACCATGCTCTAAGAACTGGCCCCAAAATATGGTGCTTACGGAGTTCTTGTTGAATAGTTTCTTGGCCTTGATGTCAGGGTATGTTCCAACACCCCTTACTACCCACGGCTGTCACTATTCCTGAAGCAATCTCTGCTTCCTGTTTTGCAACTTCTAACATAATATGAGCAAGAAAGAAAAACAAAAAAAGATACCCACCTCACTCAGCTTAGCAATACGCATAAAGTCAGAGTAAACAAACTGAGTGGAGAGTATAAGGTACTCCTAAGATGTAAAGGTCAGAATTTTAACTGTGGGCTTTGTGCCATTTATGTTAATAAGATAAGAAACCTCTAGGTAAGTGACATTTTTCTGTGGGTTTTTAAAAAGCAAAGAAAGCTAGGAAAGAGCACAGCTAAATATCTATATATAAGGTTTGGTTTGAATGCAACTGAATCCAATAAAAAACCATTAACACATATAGTGCTTAGCATGTGCCAGGGATTATTCTAAGTGCTTCAGATAGGCAAGCTTATTTAATCCTTACAATGACCCAATAAAATGAGCACAGTTAAGTAATTTGCTCAAAGTCACATAGCAAGCAGCAGAGTCAGGATTCAAACCCAGAGTCTGGGTTTTGAAGCACTTAGTACTACTGCATCTCCAACACTTAACTTGGTCCTTACTAGGTACAAAGGGCTATGCTGTCTACTTCAGATAAGCCAGGTAGGAGTTTCTTAAAGAGCACATATTTTTACTGAGACAATATGTGCTTCCAAAAGAAAATAACTTCTATTTAAACAAGTCAAAACTGGTGGTAATGTGAACTTGGGACAACTACCATTATTTCCATTTTCTAACACAGCAGAACCCAAAGGAAAATCTTTAACGTGAACCAAAGGAAACTTGGTAACACCATACTCTATTTTTTCTAAACTTCAAATAGTTCCAAAATGGCAAGAAGTAGCCTAGAAGAATTCAAAATTTTGTTCCAGCAGAGTTCACAATCTTCCTCTTTTCCTTTAAAATACAGTTTTCAAAAACTGAAGTATAAGTAAAGATGAGGCACAGTGTTTAATCTTACTAGCAAATTAAGAAATGAACATTATAACCAGAATGAAATAGCACCATGTATTTACTAAAATGATCAAAAGGTTGCCTTTTCTCTTTTAAGTTATAAAATTCCTCAAAATGTTTGGAAAACCTGTACTGATGTGATAACATTTTAAATTAGCACAATACTACCTGGCAAAAAAAAGGAATTACCAAACTGTTTATACCTTTTGGCCCAGTAATTCTTTTTCTGATAATTACTCTAAAAAATAATTCAAAAGAAAAACAGAAAGCAGTTCATAAAAAGATATTTCTTGCCCCGGCCAGTGTGGCTCAGTTGGTTAAAGCATTGTCCCATATGTCAAAAAGTGGCAGGTTTGATTCCTGGTCAGGGCACAGACCCAGATTGCAGGTTCAATCCCTAAACAGGGCACATATGGGAGGCAATCAATCGATGTTTCTCTCTCACACTGATGTTTCTCTCTCTCTCTCTAAATAAAAAAACATTTCTTTTTGGAGAGTCATAATGCTGAAAACTATAAACAACCTAAATTTTGACACAGAAACTTTCATATTAATTGTGGCATATTGCCAACTCAAAGCAGCCAGCCAAAAAAATAAATATGAAAATAATACAGTAACATTAAAAAGTTTATAAACTGTCACTTTAAAAAAGTAATACAATCAACCAGGGGATGCCAGGACAAAAGAATCTAACTGTATTGCAAGTGTATGAGACACATCACTGAAGGGAGTTAGGGGTGGTGGGGAGCTTATAAGTAACTTTGGAAAACTGTTTTGACTCAAAACTATAAGAAAAAAACAAAACAAAAACAATTGCAGCTAAACACTGTACTTTAGTTGATCAAGTTGCTTCGTATGGGAATATGAGTTAACAAGTCTGAAACCATTGGCACATACATTGGAGTCAAATAAATAAGCAAATAAATGGTGGATGATGGGAGCCAGGCTTCTCGCTGTCTGAGAAGGAACTTACAGATAAGCAAGAAGGAAAGGCTAGAATGGCCCATGTAGTAATGGATTTGACAGAGATATTAATATAAGCTTGTATTTAGCTAAATGTGGATACAGATGGAGAGATACAGAAACAATTGTTCATACGAGTGTATACATGGGTTAGTATAAATGCAAGTATTTCCTAACTCTGTCAGGTGAGAGGGCTCCTGTGCTATTCTTCCCCCTAAACTCATAACTCTATTCTATTCATGACAAAAACGTCACATAAACCCAATATAAAATACTTGACCAATACTTCTCAAACTGTCATGGTCATAAAAAATGGAAAGAGAAACTGTCACAGATCAAAGACTTAGGAAGATATAACAACTAAATGTGATGTGGGACCCTGAACTGGATCCTAGAACAGAAAGAGAACATTAATGGAGAAGCTGATGAAATCAACACAGAGTCTGTAGTTTAGTTAATATAAATGTACCAATGTTGGTTTCTAAGTTCTGACAAACCTACCATGGTAATGTATGATGTTAACAATGAGGAAAACTGGGTGTGCGATATATGGGAACTTGCACTCTCTTTGCAAGTTTTCTGTAAATCTAAAATCATTCCAAAACATTTTAAAGAGCAACACATATAACAAGTATATATACCCTATGACTCAACTATAGAAAATATAACATGGATATAAAGACAGATTGGAAAAATAGTGGTTTTAGGTTACTAGGGAACATTAAAATCTTTTCCATTTACTAGAACGCGGTTTTAAACCTCCCAAAGCCCCCAATAATAGGGAACATCTGCCCTTGGTGACACAGGAAAAATCACACGAGCCTGAGAAAAAAGAACCATAGCATGATCTCCACTGGAGAAGGTATAAAGTCCAGTAGTGTCAACTGAAATAAAAGGAAGAGAAAGCAGAGGTGACAGAGAACACAGCTGAACTGGCAGAACAAGGCAGTGCTTCTAGCCAGGAAATATGTACTATGCCCAAGTCTCAAAAATCACCAGAATTTCCCTTAGTGATTTTCTGGGTCAGGAGAAGACATCTCTTTATTTGCTAATTTTCAGATTTTTGTACATATTTATTATTTTAAGCAATTTAATTGCAGAAAAAAGGGATGGAGGACAAGATATGCTCATTACTAAAGAAAAAGTCATGACTCCATGTTTAAATCCAGTTACCTTATGTAATCGAAGGTATACATGAGCCGAAGAGAGTTTGTCCACATGAAACCTACAAAGAATGAAAACCACTTTTAGCAAGATGTACAAGACAATTATCTCCTTGGGCCACCTGCATTTAAAGCATTCCAATCCAAAAAGTATTAACTCAGTGCCTATGACGATGCTAAGCACCATGAGAGTATAAAACACAGTCACCATCTCCACAGGGTTCACCATCAACTGGGAGAGAGAAGATAAACATGGGAAATTCTGCAGCTGTGAGAGACTACATGTCAAGATGAGTAGCAGAGACAATAAGTATTATATGCCCTGGAATGGGTGCTATTTCAAGTGACAGTGTGCTATCACCAGTGACAAAAGGCTTCCCTGGCAAACTGAGATTTGGTGGGTCCCTGACTAAAGCACAGAACTTAGAGAAAACAGGGAAAGGAATTTCATTTGAGAAGAGGTGAGAATGAAAGTCATTGGCAAGACTCCAATGCTGCAAGCCTGGGAGACTTGCAGCACCACTGACAGAAACACCTTACAGTTGGAATGGACACCAGTTTAGAGAAAAAGATGAAGGGACATCCTGAGTTTCAAGCAATGGCAAAACAATCGAAAGAGTAAGTCAAGCATAGTTGGAAGAGTAAGGTGAGGAATGAAGACAGGAAACAGACACATCATAAAATGGGTCAGTCTCAGACCCAGCCTTATACTTGGCAATGACACTAATATGTCTCCCGGGAGAGCATGGTGATTGCCCTTTATGACATGTCCTGTAAACATTCAGACTGCCCTCCTACCCCCACATCCTAAAGTTAACTTTCATTAAGACTCTATCATCCACCAATTTAATTAAATCTTTTTAAATGTACTATTTTTTTTTCACCTGACCGAACATTTTGGTATGTTAAGCTTTTCACATTTACAATTCGCCAAAGTTGAAGTTGACTGTCTCTCTTCCAACACCCAAAGATGCCCCCAGAATCCTAGCATCAAACAATAACACGATTGTCACTCTTTGATTCTGTTAACTTTAGTCATCTCCTTAGTCCTTACCTTTCCAAACTGAAGAATGTACAGTAAAACCCTAAAGAGGCACCATTACATACGATTATATATTTCTCTAGACATTTTCTTAGTGCTAATGTATTTTTTAAAAGTGAAATGGTCACACATTCACACAGTGTGATTCTATATAAAGGTTAAGATCATGCTGTTTCTAATGTCCTCTTTTTGAGGTTAAGCATCTTGATAGTCACTTGGATCCAGAAAAATATTACACATTTTTGGCAGCCTATGACAATGCTAGGTTTTATTCTTAACCATCACTGATAGCTAGAAATGAGTATAACATCTTAGTTTGATTTATTCTTCTCTAACTGGTTCACTGACTCATTTGCATTTCCATGTAAGAGAGTCCGACAGATTATCATCTTCAGCTTGGCATTTTTCCACCAGAAAATGGTTTTTTTGCAAATCTAGAAATTGTATCTCATCACCCTCTTTCAGGATCTTAGGAAAATACTCCATTAATAAGCAAGCTCAATTGAGAAGTAACTTCTCCCATTCCAACTTGCTTTAAGCCACTTCTCTATTTACAACAACTCTCCTTTATACCCATAATAGCTCAATTGTATTCTGATTGTTCTTAAAGGTCTCTGATGTAGAATTTTACCAAAAGAAATTCACAAATAATTCAATATATATCTAACGGATTCATACATAAGTAGTCAAAGTATTAAAACACACACGGGTATATCACTGCCAATATACACCAACTTCAGGTATGTATACCTCTACCTAGATGCATAAAAGCATGGGCCTTTGCTAAAAGGCCAACTCTGTAAATAAACTATCTTGAGCGAGTTTCCTTAAAAAAAACCTTTCCAAACCTCCCAAAATGCTTACTCAAAGTTTAAATTCTGCCCACTATTTCCCTCTTCTGTTTTATCTTCCTCTCCCTGTTTAATCACTACTGAGTGCAGAGACTACAACGTTAAATAAATGAGAATCAATGACCTGTGGATAAAGAGATGCAGGGTCCCAGAAGCTGAGTCATTTAACTTCTTCAAGTGGGATCTCTCATTAAGGAGGTTACTAACATACACTATTTCTATTTTCCTTTGTTTAAAGATGAATTTAGTTCCATTCTCATTTTGTCCTAGGAAAATCCCCTGCTTAAAGGCACCTCAGAAGGTTTCCTGGTATAAACTCAGATGCTGACATTCAGAGGTAAAGTACCAGAGTGAAGCAGTGAACCAGGAAAATATGCCCTGGAATGTAAATCACAGCATCCTCCTTAGCACGCCCAGGAATGTTTCCAGGATTGAGTTTACGCACCAGAACAGGTCTTAAATTTAGGGCTCTTTCGGGTTACATCAGACCTCAAATAGCTCTGAAAGTAAGTCAATCACTTTCAACAACAGTCTTTAACCTCAAGTCTATTAAAGAGTGTCAAAGGGTAAAGGGTGTCTCGGTATCAGCAGATACCAGTTTGGGTACAGCCAATGTTAACAAAATGAAAACCCAAATCATAATACATGGGATGTACTTCGTAAACTGAAAATTTCTCTTCTGCTTAATTTTTTCTTAAATGTCAGGTAATAGGCTGTGGTAAATTGACTTTCATGGTGCATCTGACTATATAACCTTTTCTATGAAGATATTTCTGCCTCAAACCTGACATGTTAAAAATTTACAAAAGGGTCCTGGCTGGTTTGGCTTAGCAGTCGGAGCATTGGCCTGCGGACCAGAGTCCCAGGTTCAGTTCCCACTAGGGGCACGTACCCAAAAAAAAAAAATTTACAAAAGGTGCTCTTTCCCTGTCGCCGTGGAGTTGCGCGAAGGCGGAGGTTTGGGTGCATTGAAGATTCAGCTCTACCCACAACCCCTGCCATGGCCGGGGAAGATATTGCTGCTGGAAGTGTAATGGACATTAACACTGCTTTACAGGAGGTGCTGAAGACGGCCCTCATCCACGATGGCCTAGTGCGCAGAATTTGCAAAGCTGCCAAAGCCTTAGACAAGCGCCAAGACCACCTTCGTGCATTTGCATCCAACTGTGATGAGCCTATGTAGGTTAAGTTGGTGGAGGCCCTTTGTGCGGAACACCAAATCAACCTCACTGAGGTTGACGACAACAAGAAACTAGAAGAATGGGTAGGCCTCTGCAAAATCAACAGACAGGGAAAACCCCGTAAAGTGGTTGCAGTTGTGTGGTGGTTAAGGACTATGGCAAAGAATCTCATTGAGGAGTATTTCAAATGCAAGAAATGAACAAATAAACTTGGCTTCTGTTTCTCAAAAAAAAGAAAATTTACATAAGATAACTATATAACAGGTATTGCCACTCTTATCCCCCTTGACAGAATCTGAGAGACATAGGAGATAAAAGAAAGCCTATGTTCCAGAGACCTTCACAGGTCTGAGATCTAGACCTTCACAGGTCTGAGATCTAACCCTAAGGCATCATTTCCAGTTTAGATGGTAATTATAAATGAAGGGAGCTGGCAATCAGCTATTTACCATCAAATGTTCATAAACAAAATATAAAACATTAGTTCTAGTTTGAATCATAAGAGTCAGGTGGTTGGCCAGGTCTAAGAAAGTAAATTATGATCTACTGAAAGCAGAACCAAAATGATAACTTACCAAATATCTTCAGGCCAGCCATACTTTATTAGATCCTCATCTACAGGGAGATACAAGAGAACAAAGAAAAGGTAAAAAAACTGTCAAATGAAGATATGCCAGAGTTTATAGATAATTGGAAAGGGAGAAATAACAATCCTTTCCACAACTTTTCCCCCTCTCTTAGTAAATTTCTTCTTCTCCCTTAGAAGAAAAGAGTAATTCAGAGAGACTTTAATGCTTGAAAATTTTATTAAAATACTTTTTACAACCGGGCAATTATAGTTAAAAATTTTTATAATACTTAGAATCTAAAGTTCAGAGATATTTCTATGTGAAGACAATAAAACTGATAGCCCTGGCCAGTCTGGCTCAGGTTTTGCTCAGTGGTTAGAGAATCAGCCCTCAGATAAAAGAATCAAGGGTCCCATTCCCAGCCAAGGGCATGTAGTAGGGTTGCAGGTTTGACCCCCAATGCCTGGGTCATGTGGGAGGCAACCGATTGACGTGCCTCTCTCACATCGATGTCTCTCCCTCTCTCTCTGTCTCTCCTTTCCCACCTTTCACTCTATCTAAAAATCAATGGAAAGATATTCTTGGGTGAGGGAGGATTAACAAAAAAAAAACCACAAAAACCGATAAATCGGAGCAGCTGAGAAGTTAGATGATGTCTAAGAAAATTGATTCACTGTAATAATACTTATATGTTAAAATGGTTTTGCTAAAATTTTAAAACCAATGGATTATATTTTACTTCTTAAAAAAACAAAACAAAACACACCTCTCCATTATAAAAATGCAGAAAATTAGGGAATAAAGCAAACACCAGAAGTATAAAAAAGAAAATAAAATTCACCTAAAATTCTGTCACATATGAAAATAAAAATAAAACAGAAGAAGTAGCTACACGTTAAAAGTAATGTCTTGGGGGTTGGAACATGGGTATTGAAAAAAATGAATTAGGATGAATTTTTTTATTACAAATATTTTGTTACTATTTAAAATTTTAAAGTACGTATGTTAGGAAAAATAAAATAAGATTTAAAAAAGTTATTTGGCCCTGACTGGGTAGTTCAGTTAGAGTGTTGTCCCCATGCGCCAACATTGCAGGTTCAATCCCCAGTCAGGACACATACAAAAATCAACCAATGAGTGCATAAATAAATAGAACAACAAATCAATGTTTCTCTGTTTCTCCCTCTCTCAAAACAATTTTAAAAAATAGTTTTAATAAAAAACTAAAAGTTCTATGAATAAGTTAAAAATTGTAAGGTAAACAAAATAATTCGTATATGATTTAAATGTACCTAAGAGCCCGACCGGTGTGGCTCACTGGTTGAGCATCGACCCATGCACCAAGAGGTCACCAGTTCAATTCCCAGTCAGGGTACATGCCCAGGTTGTGGGCCTAATCCCCAGCAGGGAGAATGCAGGAGGTGGCCAATCAATGTTCTCTCTCATTGATGTTTCTCTCTCTCTCTTTCTCTCTAAAATCAATAAAGAAAAAAATATAAAAAATAAATAAATAAAATGTACCTAAGAAAGTATAATCTAACTTTAATGGGGTATTTATATCCCAGAAAAGCAAAAGAATGATAACTTTGGATGAGGGTACTCTTAGCATTGCAGACAACATGAGATTTCTGAAGGGCTTTCTACTAGCTTAAGTGGGATGCTGAGCAAATAGCCAATAGATTATCAGAACAAGTAAAGGGAAATCTAAAAACCTCTTCCTCAGGCAATGTTTGGCTCCCTGGTGACACCTGCTGGTTTATAAAAGTAACACACCTGAAAGCTTTTTTAGTGAAAGCAAATAATCCAATCAAAAATTCATTTATATTCGATCCAGCCCTTACTCTGAAGTCATCGAGGCTATTTAAAGTAAGTGTGATGTGCTAGGGAGCACTACAGGACAGGGTACTTTAAATATGTTATACTTTTCTGCCCTGGCCAGTGTGGCTCAGTTGGTTGGGCATCGTCCCTTGCAGGGAAAGGTTGCTGGATGATTCCCAGTCAAGGCACATGCCCAGGTTTCAGCTCAATTCCCAGTGGGGGACCAGTAGGAGGGAGCTAGTTGATGTTTCTCTCTCTCTCTTTCTCTCTAAAAATAAATAAATAAATAAATAACGGGGGGGGGGGGGGAGTTTGACCCTATGCTTTACTGCTGTTCTGTGCTGCAACTTATTTAAATAAATAAATAATAAATTAAAATGTTATGCCTTTCTTACAAAGCAGACAAGGAAAGTTGATGCCTCCAAATGACCCCAAGAGTTCTTGGGCAAAAGCTGGTCTATACATAAATTTTCTCCTACATATGTGTATAAGATATATATTTTTTTAATCCTCACCCAAGGATATTTTTCCATTGATTTTTCAGACAGAGTTGGGAGGGAGACAGAAACATCGATGTGAAAGAGACATATCGATTGGCTGCCTCCCACATGACTTGAACCAGGGCTGGGGATCAAATTGCAACCAAGTTACATGCCCTTGACCGGAATCAAACCCGCAACTCTTTGGTCCATAGCCCAATGCTCCAAACACTAAGTCAAACCAGCCATGGCCTACATATATTTTAATGACAACAAAGCACCACTCCAGCCCTGGCTGGTTTGTTCAGTGGTTAGAGCATCAGCCCACGGACCGGAGAGTCCTGGGTTCGGGTCCTGCTAAGGGCATGTACCCTGGCTGCAGTTTGTTCCCAGCCCCAGTTGGGGTCTTGTGGGTGGCAACCACTCGATGTGTCTCTCTCACACTGATGTTTCTCTCTCTCTCTCTTCCTCCCTCTCTCCCTCCTGCTCTATCTGAAGATAAATTCAAAAATGTCCTCGGGTGAGGATTAAAAACAAACAAACAAAAACATCACTCCAGCGGACTCCAGATAGAATCTAAATTGACACATGTAGACATAAATTCTATATCTAGATTTATATTTCTTATATATCTAGAATTAGATATAATTATTCCACAGGACATTTAAAGGATTTCACACACAAAAAGAAACAAACAAATATATAAAGGGTTCCAAAATCCAGCCCTTCCTAATCTATTCCTCCACAAAGCCTTCTCAGCTTTCCCTACTCTCTCTGCTCCCTCCACCTTTACAGTATTTGCTATTAATATTAATGTATTTTGCTCATACTTTTTTATAGATTTTACTTTTTTTTTTATCCTCACCCAAGGACATTTTTGCTTTTATTTTCAGATAGAGTGGGAGGGAGAGAGGAAGGAAGAAAGAGAAAGAAACATCACTGTGAGAGAGACACACTGACTGGTTTCCACCCACATGACCCTGACCGGGGCTGGGGACGAACCACATGCTAGATATGTGCCCTTACTGGGAACCAAACCTGGGACTCTCTGATCCACAGGCCAATGCTCTAACCACTGAGAAAACTAGCGAGGACAGATTTTTACTTTTTAAAGCAATATGAAGTTCATGGCAAAACTGATCCATACAGTGGAACTTCGATTCTCAAACTTAATTTGTTCCAGAAAGCTGTTGGAAAAGCGATTTGTTCAAACACCAAATCATTTTTTTCCCATTAGAACAATGTGTTTTCAAATATGGTGGCAAGCAGGACCGAAGTGAGGGTGAGTATGTGAGAGCATGAGCAAGTGTGAGAGAGAGTGTGTGAGTAGATGTGAGGATGGATGAGCAACCATGCAGCAGTGTGGAAACTTAGGGCAGAGGGTTCCGGTGCTGTGGATGGGTGACCAGCCAGCTATTGCTATATGGAGCTTATCAGGGTGCTTCTCCCTGCTGGGGACTGGAAGGCCCTGCCATTTTGGAAGATCTGCTGGGTCTTCCAAAAGGAGGCAGCAGGGAGGAGGAGGAGGAGGCAGCAGGGAGCAGCTAGGGCTCAGCAACCTGAGGCCACCAGTGTGCCTTGCACCATCAGACCAGTGGCGCCCACTGTGCCAACGTGGACCAGCACAGTACTGGCAATGTCAAGGTACCTGCTCCCGGAAGCAGCACTGAGATTCAGAAGCCACCACCACCCCCAGCAGCAGTAGCAGAAGCTGGCTCAGGAGCAAAGCCCCACCCCCAACAACAGCAAGGCTTGGAAACTGAGCACTGTCCCCAACAGCAATAGCAGTCAGTTTGGGAGCCGAGCACCATCCCCAGCAGCATTAGTGCCAGCTTGGGAGCAGAGCACCGTCCCTGACAGCAGCAGTGACTGGCTCTGGAGCAGAGCCCCACCAGGCAGTAGAGGTACCTGAGGACCTAAGCACCCCAACAGCACGCCAGCAGGACCCATGACAGAAGCACCTATGACAGACCAACATAAGCCACCAGCTTTTAATTCTCCAGGACCCAGAGTAGACAAGGGGTGCCACTCACCAGACTAATATGGGAGGCACAGCAGTCTTATCTGATACACACCGACCTGCCTACATGTCACAACATGCCTCACCTGGCTCGGAACTACCAGACTGCTAAAATGGTGAGACAGAGAAACAATCCCCAAATGAAAGAAAAGGAGGAATCACCAGAAAAGTAATTACATGAAATGGAAGCAAGCAATTTGTCAGATAAAGAATTCAAAGCAATGGTTTTAAGGGTGCTCAAACAACTTAGTGAGAACTACAAGCAACTTAATGAGTATTATAAAGAGCTCAATGGGAACTACGTCAGCATAAAAAAAAAAAAGAGGTAGAAGCTATGAATAAAAATCAAGTGGAAATAAAGAATGACATAGCTGATATAAAAAATACCTTGGAATTCAATAGCAGATTAGAAGCTAAAGACCAAATTAGTGAGTTAGAAGACAGGTAGAATAAACACCCCCAAATAGGGACCTTTGGCACAACACAAAATTTAACAACATTCACATCATAGGGGTACCAGAAGGAGAAGAGTCAGAGAAAGGACTAGAGAACCTGTTTGAAGAAATAGTGACAGAAAATTTCCCTAATGTGGTGAAGAAAAAAGTCATACAAGTCCAGGAAACACAGACACTCCCAAGAAAGATGAATCCAAAAAGACCCACAGCTAGACACATCATAATTAAAATGGCAAACATTAAAGACAAAAAAGAATCTTAAAGGCTACAAGAG